TCGCCGCTCCTTTCTTGCAGAGAGTGGAAGAGCTATTGTTTGTGCGAGGTAAAGGAAAAGAGATAGCAATAAGTAGACATCTGGTATGCTGTTGTTTCCGTGTGGGTCTCGATCCTCTCATATCCATATTTCACTCACAGAGTTCTAAACGGCGTTAGCGCGGAGATGAAAAGACGTTAAGCAGACAGAGAAGTGTAGAGGAACTTTCTATTCAAAGATCAGTTGACTCCACAAAAACTTGTTATCAGTTCTTTTAGTCATGTGTGTGTGGCAAGGAACAAGTATGATCACACCAACACAGTTTATCAAACATGTGTTAATTCATAACGCGTCTGTGCGGGCTCGGTCCTTCACAAATCACGAGAATCGGAAACAACAACTTCAAGTCATGTACACACAACTAGACCTACAAACACAAGCCTATCACACCCACACACACACCACACACGCGAATCAATTAGCATAAACATCACACTAATCTGCAACACACAAACAAATCGTCTCTTAGCATGAAATCCCTACAAGCTACAACACCCATAAGATTACACAACATTTCACAGCACCACAATTCATCGAGAAGGATTTCAATTTCGTTCCTCTTTAAGCTCCAACATTTAATAAATGAGGTCATCATTTCTATGACGACGTCAAATATATATTTTCTGTATTATCAGATACATCTAAGATATGTAGCATGGCTAATAGTCCCTTACCGCTAGCCGTGTTCCACGCGAACAAATTCAGTCCAACTTATCATTAGTGGGTTACAAGCAGTCACACAATGTGCTCTTCCACCCACATAATGCTTCTTCGCCTCTTTTCGGAGTCGCGATAGCCAGTGCTGTCCATTGAAAGACCTGTTGGTGTTCAGGAACAACCTGGGACCCATTCAACAGAACCTCTTATGCAGTGACTATAGGCCTGTAACGAAGGCCTAAGCGGCTGCTGAGACCCTCTTCCCAATGCTCGACGACAAGCTGACATGCTACACCAGGCAGACTCAACCGTACACATAAACTTCACTGTCCATGTCTGATAGTGGGTCAATTGGCTTTGTTGATCGGCACGACCTAACCACTGGAACCTACCCACACAGAAAGATAAGGAGGCGGTCATTCACATTTATGGTCAGTGGAACCCTGTTACGCAACAAAGTTTGCTTGAGCAATGTAGTGAGAAGAAAGACTGAGAACAGGCTCAAGGTGTGCGCTAATTTAGCTCACAAACCAGCGATGCTCCTTTCCATTTCCATTGCTCCTGTTGTGTGATGCGTTGTCACTTGTTATACTGGTGCTGCTCCTCTATATTCTTGTGTGTAACCGACTCTGTATATGGTCCAGAGTATTCAGGCTTGGAGACAAAGGCTGCTTATGTGTATTTCTGTCTTATGCGTCTCTAGGCTGATTGAGGCACAATGACAGTGATGGTGTAAGGGTGTGGCTTTTGATTGTTAGATTATAACACATATTGAGGTGAAGGTAAGGGGCTGTGAGAGACATGAACATAATATGTACTTTGTATTTAGTAGTTTATTGACGTGTCTGCCATGATAGACACTGCTAAATTTACTTAACATACATGGCTCTTACTCTCAAAAACGCAACAAAGGGTACATGATATTCTCTCTCGGACCCTCTGAATTGAGTCCTAGCATTGTCAGCGTAACTAACGATATATGTCCCTCTATATCAAATAGTGAATTTATTAGTCAATAGATGAACTTCCTAGCCGACAATGTTGCTGTACACCAGATAAACTGCGCAGACATACGCTGTTATATGTTTCATATTGGCCTACTGGCGAGTGTCATTGTTACTACTAGTCTGTGCAGTTAGTATTGGATACTCACGATAAGAGGCGAGTGCATCATCATCTATTAGTTTAGAGTTTATTTTTAACTGACTTAATTATTGATGTAGGCTGGTTGGGGTGTCTGGGGGTTGATGTATCTAGTATATCCTCAGCAACTGTTCAGCTTTAGGTGTGGCGTTGGCCTGGCCTCTATATTCGCTTAATTTATGTTGTGGGAATGTTTATTTTCTAGTCTTTTGTAGTTGCCTAATATCCAATGCCTGGTCTCTTTTTGATGCTGGCCCCCCTGCACGAAAACATTTTCCAATTGGTCCTTTTCTTACCATGCTATCTTCTTTAACTCTGTTTATGTATGCACCATAAACTCATATGGTATATATTATTCCTCCTATGGTTAACCTACTTTGCAGCTAAGCTGGGGATGTCTGATTTGAAATGTCAGAAGGATTCTGCAACATCATAAGTAACGTAGCCAGAACCCGACAAGTGCTTTTGGTTAAGGCTGGTTCAAGGCTTGGAGAAAGGAGCAGTCTGGACCATTGAGCTGGACTTGCCTAGCCTGTTCATCACATTCTCTACAAAGTGGTCTGTTGCGCACAGTGAGGGCAGACCACCAGCACGGCTCTCTTAATGTTGCCCAGCTCTTCATGTGAAGTAGTGGCTTCCTGCAGCGGCGATGAAAAGGAGGGGGGAGGAGAGAAAGCTGAAGCAGAGCAGAATAAAATGGACAGCGAGAAAAAGCCGGACTCAGCTCAGAAATTTGTTTATCAAATTCTAGTTGTTTGAAGTACATTACTGTACAGTATATCCACCAGTTATGTTAAAACTTTGCAGCTGCTTCTTATCAGATTATGCAAAGTGCCGGCTTATACCGTGTACCTTTTACGTTATCTTATTTTGTTCTTCATTTCTCTTTCCTCACTGGTCTGCAGCGGTGGAAGTATTCAGATGCATTACTTGAGTAGTAGTACCAATACCATTATTGTCAAAATACTGTATTACAAGTTAAAAGTCCTGCATAAAAATCATACTTAAGTACAAAAGAACTCTCAGCTAAAGTACTTAAGTATTAAAGAGGTAAATCGAATCATTGTGTAGAAAAAATGCCTTGATGTGGTATATAATGTTATTTATATATGTGACATTTCTAGATAATATTATTGCATCACGTAGCATTTTACTGTGGTAGACAAACTCATTTCTGAATGGCTTTTTCTAAAATATTTAAATTATTTGACTCATTTGTGACTTAAAGATTTAGTCAACTAGTTTTTAAGTACCATTTTTAAAGATGCGTTTTGTTAAAAGTAGCAGTAAGTAAAATTACATTATTTTCTTTAATGTAGTGGAGTAGAAGTATAATGTAGCATCAAATGGAAATACTCAAACTTGGACTGTAGTTGAGTCATTTAGTGGGAATGCTGATACTGCTTGTTCTTTGACGCACAAAATTATTTATCATTCCGCCGGGTTATTTTGCACCTCTTCTTCTCCCACATTTCACATCGCAGAAACTCCGTTCAAACATCAAAACGTTCAGCTCGGTCGGGAATCGATGGCTATTACTTTTCTTATTCATTACTTTCATAATTCTAGAGATACATCCCATAATTCATCTAATGTTTAACATGGAAGTCAATGGAGAAACTCTTCAGACTTGAACAATCTTCATGCAACTTCAGACTGCAATCTTCATGCAACTTCAACTGCTAACTGCTCCTTCATACTTTCACTCAGAAACCTCATTCCAACTTTAAAATGTTACACATCTTTCTGACATTATTCGTGTAACACAACTTTTAAATCTGATTCATACTTTTAGAGATATTAAACATTGTTCAGACCTTGGTAAAGAGGCCTTCTTCAGATTTTAGAGTGCGTGATGTCACAGCTAGAGTGGAGGACAGATTTAATTTTGCCTTTATATTTTCTTTTACACCTGCCATAATTCCCAAACCCTTAATTCCTGAGACATAATTGTTCATGAGAAACGTAGGAAAACATCTCGTAGCTTGAAAAATTAAAAAAGATTAAGCAAAATAATTTAACAAAATGCCTCTTGAGGGCATGAAGTGAAAACTTTCAACATGTCTCCATTAAACCCCATTGTAAGTTCAGCCTCATCTTTCCCCACCACAGCAGCCGCTCTCCTCTCACTGATTACTGCACATCACCATGGAAACCTTTGATCTCTGGACACTAGTTAGCTCAAATATAAACACCTGTGTCATGGAACACGATGATGTCATAACTCTAACTGATATGCTCAGAGCACCAGACTTCAGATAATGGTTAACACAGCTCTTCATCAAATCAGATACGTAATGTGGTATTACTATGGCAACACATCCCTGCCATAAAACATCAGCAGACTTCAGATAATGGTTAATGGTCCTGCCCTCAACAGCTCTACGTCAATTATGGGGTGTCCATGGAAACGCATCCCTCGCCATAAAATACGATGTTGCTGTAACTCCAATGGACACGGTCCGATCGTCCCCCAAACTTTGCTTGTATATCACCGGTCCATGCCTCAACAGCTTTACGTCAATTATGGGGTGTCATCATATACCGATAGGCTGGAAACGCATCCCTCGCCATAAAACACGATGTTGTCGTAACGCCTATGAAAAGGGTCAAAACAGCACCAGACTTCAGATAATGGTTAATGGTCAAGCCCTCAACAGCTCTACTTCAATTATGGGGTGTCATCATATGCCGTTTCCATGGAAACGCATCCCTCGCCATAAAACACGATGTCGCTAGAACAGTTTTGAGATTTCTTCAAATGCCGTTGCCATGGCAACACAAGGCTCGCCATGAAACATGGTTTTCTCATAACTTCAGTTAAAATGCTCCAAACGGCCCAAAACTTCACAGGTTTGGTAACGATGCAGCCATCAACGCATCTAAGCGTATTATGGGGTGTCATCATATGCCGTTGGCATGGTGACAGATCATTCGCCAGTTTGCAGTTCAAATATTCTGCTGCTTTTCCTAACCTTTTTACTTTTTTTTTTATTCTCTTATCACACATTCAAGTCCCCAGAGTTCATGTATAATTTCAATCAAAATTCTTCACTTTCTTCTTACACATTACATTTCAGCATAGCAGTTTAGCATCAGCTTTTCAGCATAAAGCATTCCCACTAACAATTTCCTCCCATCTTTGCTTGTCTGTCCCTCAGGTCACCTCTCAGCGGATGCAGGGATGTTTGCTATTGGTCTTTGCCAAGTACTTCCATCTACCCTTCCTGCGCGGAGTACAGACTGAGACCACCCGCACCGGCCTGGGGGGATACTGGGTGAGACGGCTGCTGACACCACGCTGTGATCACTGTGTGGTGGAAATGTTACACATGAGAGCCTAGCTGTAGATAACTCTGTGACTTGGTGTAAACCTGCATCACTGCCCTGATAGAGATCAGAGACAATAAGTTTCCACTACAGCGTTACACACTTCTACGACGGCTGCTCCCTCTTATTCAATCAGTCGGCTAATCGGTTGTTTTGGTCTTGGATGACTTTGACCAATTATTCAATTTCTTTATGCCTTTCTCATGCTTTAATGTTAAAGAAACATATAAGCATATCTCAGATAAATAAAGGATTTAAAGTGGTGCGTTGTATGATTCTCTTTGGAAAGAGAACATTTTAAGGATGTGTTGATTCAATCCATAATAACTATATATTATATTTTTTATTATATATTATACATCTTTCATTGAGGCCATATTGTTACCTCATATTCAAACGCTGTTCTGTCAGGTTTAATAAGAATAAAGAACTGTTCTTTTAAACCGTTAAAAAAATATGCTTTCTGCAATATCTAATCTAACAGGTAACAAGTAACATGTAATATGTTACTAAAGGACAATGGCATGCTCCGAGAGAGAATTAATATCCTGCTCCCTGAAATGTTTTGTAGCTCAGAGTAAAATTATCTCTGTATTAACTCAGGGATCAGCACATTCTGCAGCCTTTACACTGAAACATGTTTTTAGTGGGTCAGCGCAGTTTGTAGAACAGCGGGAATAGATCTTCAGACTCATCCTGTCCCCCCACTGCGCACTTATCTGTTACCATTAAATATTGATCCCACTCTTGGTGGTCCCTAATGAGTAAACTTCCTGTTTGTCTTTGCCACAGACACGCATCGCTCAATAAAGTGAGAGACGGTTTCTGTCTTACATCACTGACGTATAGTCATTTAGGTCATTCATTCATTTCATTTTGCTTCCCGATGAATAAAAAGAGTTGTCAGTGTGCCTTTCTCTATTAAAAATGATTAAACAACTTTTTTCTTGCTGGTGTTTCAGGGGAATAAAGGTGGTGTGAGCGCCCGCATGTCAGTGTTCGGCCACACCATCTGCTTCCTCAACTGCCACCTGCCTGCTCACATGGAGAACTCAGAGCAGCGCATGGAGGACTTTGAGAGCATCCTGCAGCAGCAGCAGTTCGAGGGCCAGGCTGCCACCGGGGTCCTCGACCATGAGTACGTCAGGACAACCGTTACCTGCTCATTTATATGTGACAAACAATCGCATTTTTGATTTCTCCAAAGTCATGTTTTATGTTGAAAATCGTGTACCAGTCAGCATTGCAAAAGTTCTTATGTAGTTTCCATGGTTTGAATTCATGAAATGACTCCTTTTTTTCACAGTGTGGTGTTCTGGTTCGGAGATCTCAATTTCCGCATTGATGAGTTGGATATGCAGGTTGTGAAATCAGCCATCGATAACAACAAGTATCAAATGTTGTTGGAAAAGGATCAGGTAAAAAGGGCTTTCTGATTTTACTTTCAAATCTAACTCCTACGTGGGGTCTTCTTGAAATGCAACTTCCCCCTCACATCTGTATTCATAGCAGTTTACCCCCAGAAAAGTGATCTTTTAAGTCTGATCTTTGGATCACAATTCTTGTGAAGACTTTTCCCAAGCTGCAGAGGCATACATAAAACAAGAAGTCCATGATAAAATACATTTTCTCTTGTCTGCTGGACTATGCACTGTGTTGGTGATGCCACCGGAGGGCAGTATAAAAACAAACTATCTCCATAAAGGAGCTGTCAGTTAAACACAAATCCTCAGTGAGGTACATTCTTTAATGTTACAGCTCAATATGGCCAAAGACAGTGAGACGGTGTTGGAGGGTTTCCAAGAGGGGGCGCTGAAATTTCCTCCCACCTACAAGTTTGACGTTGGAACCGATACATACGACACAAGGTTGGTGACGCCTCTGTGCTTTTTCTTACTGATCAATTATCACAGCTCTACCAAAGGAGAGCATATTAGCACCTCTTGTTTCTCCAGGTTATGTTATTAAATACGTTTATTTTAGTTCCATATCTCTTTCTGTTTTCCTCCCAGCGGGAAGAAGCGTAAACCAGCTTGGACCGACCGGATTCTGTGGCGCCTGAGAGCGACGGCCGGGTCTGCTCTGAACGCAGGGAAGCGTGGGTCCATGTTGGGTCTGACCAGCGGGACCAAAGTGACCCAGCACTACTACCGAAGCTACATGGAGTACACAGTCAGTGACCACAAACCTGTGTCCTCCATCTTCACCCTGCAGGTGAGACTTATAAGGGTACTTTGTGAAGATGATTTACCCTTGCAATCTTTTAAATCTCAATACCAGTGGTAAGGTGCAGAAACAATGACAACATACACATTTCCAGAACTACTTTTAGCCCTTTATTTTGAAAATAATCATGTTTAATGTTGTTTAAACTCAAGAATATTGCACAGTTTAAACTTGTGATTTAAAATGGTCCAATAATATCTTCTCAAGGCTTAGCATTTGACCATGCATTGGGTCCCAACTTTTGAGACAGTTTATATGGACACATTAGGTTCGATTTTTCAGCCTTTTTTTTTAATTTAAAGGTGACCTATCGTGCAAAATGCACTTTTGTACGTCTTTTATACATGAATATGTGTCCCCGGTGTTCCAGGGAACTCAGCAAGTGTCAGAAAACACAACCCTCTCTATTTTCCTCGATACCCAAATCTCTTAAAAAGGGGCTGCAACGGATCTGATACAGACTGATCCAGATTTGAACACTTCTATGACGTCACAGAAGTGGCGCTACGGCTATTGGGCCAACTCCACCAATCAGGAGGAGACAGCCACGGACATTGCCGTTGGAAAGCGCTGGAGACGCTGTAGTACATATGCCAGGCCTGTAGATGGTGCTGTTCTCACAGAATCAGCCCATGCAAAGACAGTGTTCAATTGAGCGAAATGAGGAATGGCTAAAATGCATGATCTGTTTGGTATTTTGAAAAATAAAAAGTATAAATATGCCTTATATAGGTATGGTCCTACACTATATTATTCAAATATAGCATGATAGGTCCACTTTAACTTTCACAGTTTAATTGTGAGGATATCACTGTGTTGTTTTGCCGGTAGAGAGTAACAGATTCGACTGAGTTGTGTACGTGTATCTGACAGGC